GGGCGTCCCGCCCAATCCTCACCCCCCCCACACCAAGGATAAGCCCAGATCCCAAACGGGAGAGGCTCAGCCCCCCCCCCCCCCTTTGCCGGCATCGCTGCTCTGCGCATCCTGGCGGGAAACCAAGCTTCAAATGCGCCAGCGAAACGCGGGGGGAGAGAGAGAGAGGGAGAGCCCCTAGCACGGGCGCGGGCCCCCTCATCCTCTCCGGGGACCTCTGGGCCCAGGTTCCGGCACGCGCCTGCCCCGCTGGCTCGTGCGGCCGGGGGAGGGGAGGGCGGTGAGGACGCAGGGCGACGGGGCTGGTTGCGCGAGCGCGAGGGGTGGGCCAATCGTCGGGGCGACGGACGGCGCGTGGTTCGCGAGTGCTGGTCATCGGAAGGGAGAATGTGAGGGTATCGTGAAGGCGGGTTGGTCGTTGGTCGCGTAGGAAGCCTGTTGAGAGTGACACATGCTCAACAGGTGGCGTGGGTAAGGAAGAGATTGTTGGGCTGATGTCTACAATTGATGAGCACGTCCGGCCGCACGTCGGGATCGCGTGAGAAGGAGGCCCCCCAATCAAGTCGACCTTGATATGTTGGCTGGCTTGCTTGCTTGCTGGGAAGTGGTGAGAAGAGACGAGGGGTCGATGCTGAGGAACGGGGATGGATTGGCATGCCATGTCACGAGAGATAGACAACATGGTGCTACTGTGTGTGCAGTTCGTCAGGAGCTCTGCCGTCCTAGTTTGGCAGTCGAGATGATATCGTACAGTGCTTCGTAGACTTTCGACAATCCTGGAAGACCAACTAGGCACTACTCCTACTGTACCTCAGGAAGCGCGTGCTGAAGCTTGCATTCGAGCTATGCCCCGTTGGCAAGCACGCTCACCGACCTGGTGCTGGACTCTTTCTTATGGAGCAGGCCCCGTCGCATATGCCCGTCGATGGGGTCGAGGTGCAGCAGTTTCGGGCCTGCTGGCATGCAGACTGAGGAGTCTCGAACGAGCTGGTGGCGGGCGGGACCGTTCCGACGAGATGTAGGCCGGGCGTTGGATGAGTTCATCGATTCCAGATCCCGAGCCATCTGGTCGCTGGATGGGCCTTGTCAGAGTCAACCAGAAAACCAGTCACTACTGTCTACGTCAGTTCTCAAATGGAGACAGGGACGCCATGTCTTTCTCGGCAGGCGCTCCGAGCTCGCCCATGGGGAAGACATGTTTAGGTGAGCTGGGGGGACGTGGGGGTTCTTTGCTTGAAGGGGGGGTTGTTGAGAGATGTATACAGCAGCTGGCGAGGAATGAGAGCAGCTCGTTTGACTGAGGAACGCAGCATTTCAGCAGCTGCCAACACACAGATGAGGCGGGCTCATTCTGACAGGTGATCGATCATCCCTGTTCGGAACCTGCGGGCTCTCTCTCTACCTAAGCAGGGTACCTTACCAGTACACACACCTCTTCTGTCCCAACATGGCCTGGCATGATGAGCGAACACAACCAAGCTGGAACCCCCGGCGATTGGTGCTGCAGCGGAAGACATCCGGAAGGTGTGGCCGCTAATCTGGGACAGGAAGAGTCAAGAGCAGGTACCAGGTCCCGGCGCTGCGACGTGCGTCTCCTCTGTCTCCGGCCTCTGCATGTTGAGTACTGTTGCTTCTTCGCAAAGCCTTGCTGTGAGCACGTCAGCACTGGCTGCCATTTGGCGACGAAACCAGACAGAGAGGTTTGAGGCACTATGCAAGGATTTTTTTTCGTCAAAAGAAAACCACCGCCAGATCAATAGGGTCGCGCAACGATGGGTTGTCTTCATGGCTTGTTATTTCTCGAGTCGTGTTGTTGCCTCTGGTGATGGCCGCTGGAATCGGGAGGGTGTGAGGGGACGAGGCACCCCCCATGGGCTCGGGACATGCGGCGAAAGCCACGATGGCAGCTGATGGGCAATTAAACTCGCCTGGGCTGGCGCGTGCCTGGGCCATTTTTTTTTTTGGGTTGCCCAACGTCTTGTCTCCGTCTCCAAATCTGGCCCTTCGAATCATCATTTGTCTCAGGCCCCAGCCTCAGCGATTGTGCCCTTTCTTTGTCCCCTCTTCTCAGCTCAGCCGTCACGAAGGTCAGCAGCAACATCGATACTAGATACGAAAAGAACTGCGGAATCTCAGGAGACGAAGAGTCTAGGCCCCAGGTGTCTAGGCCTGTTGCTGAAAATACCTACCAGATAAGGACAGCCCAGCAGCCTATGAGCCTAGAAGAGAGAGGGGGAAGGGAAGGGGGGGGGGGGCAGCCGAGGATGATGTCAACGGCATTGTGCTTGGATGCATGGAGGCATGGGAATGCAAGGCGCTGTGAGAAGAGGGGGGGACCCTTGTAGGCCCTGAGGCGAGGCACTTGACGTGATGTATCTGCTCCGTGCCAGGAATGTACGGCGACTGTGCTTCGAGAAGAGCGACATCGGACGACCACTCGGCCATGCCCCGCGAGCAGGTCTGTTCAGCGGTCCCTTCCACTGGCCAGCCGAGGCACTTACGCCACTCGGTGCCCGAATGAGTCAAGAGCCGTGCCATCAGAGTCTTCTTCGCGCTGCTCGCACAGTCGAATGACACCTGTCTACCTCAGAACGGAATCCCCAACTCACTGTTCCACCGCCTTTCCCCCACCCACACCCACCCACCAGACCATCGCCCACTACCATCCATGTACCTACCTAGCAAGCCTAGGTAGGTACCACCACCACTGCCAGCCCAGCCGGGCCAGCCCACCCACCCACCACCTACTACGCTCTGTCAGGGCAGCACGAACGAGAACGAGTCTTATTATCCCATCGTCGACCTGTGACCGCTCCTTTGGTTCGTTCAAGGCTCTGCACCTTGTTCGCCCGGCCGACGGACTTCTTGACCTCTGTCGTCTGGGAGGCTGCCACACCTCCTTCTTCCTCTCCCTACACAAGGACGACGCAACGATACCCTCTCCTCCCCCTCCTCACCAGAGTACTCCATCGAGTACCTTTCTTTCCTTTCCTGGATCGCACGACAGGCGATAAACTCCGATCAACCCTTCACCCGTCTGCCCCTTGTTGAGAGATATTTCTGCTCTCTTCTCCACACCACGACTACAACGGTTCTTCGGAATTCCTTTCCACTCTTTCATGTCTTCGAACAAGGTGGCTCACTTTTCGACTCAGAACGAATTCTGGGAGCGAGTACCGTTGATCATCGACGACCCCTCCACAATACCCTGATCGACGCGCGAGAACGTGAGCTCGCATGCCCACACCGGCGACCCGACGACAGCAGCCCAGCAATGACAGATTCCACATCGATCATTTTTCCTTTCCCCGGACGCAAGCGGCCCCGAGAGAGAAAGTTTGGTAAAAAGGAACGAAGCTCAACCACAGAGTACAATGGGCGATCCGGCCCCCCCTCGCAGGCGGTTCGCCCCTGTACCTATCGAGACGACTTTTCAGTCGGTCCGCAGCCAGGCCCCTAAGACGCAGCCCGGCGGACACACAGACGAGCTCACGCCCGAACCGTCGCCTCGCGAACAGTCGCCCGACCCAGTCGTCTTCCAGCCCGGCAAGAGGCGGTTCGCCCCTCAGTTGATCGAGACCTCGAGACGAACCCGCCGAGTCGGAGACACGGGCCCCGCCACCAAGCCCGCTGATAAGACCGACATCACCCCCTACACAAATCACATTTACGTCCAGCGCAACAAGTCGAGACGGAAACCCCGCGACCAGTCCTCGCACAACCAGACTGTCCTGCACAAGGGTGCCAGGCGTGAATCGGAAGATGAGAATGCAGGCAACTATGTGTTGGAGTGGGCTGCCAAGGAGGCCGAGCGCCAGATGCACGAAGATGCCCTCGCTGCCTTTCCCAACAGCAGGGCGCGGGAGGGTGGTGCCGCCCACTTCTACTTCCGCGAGAGCTCCGGCGACGATTCTCTGTCATCGAGCACATCGCCCGTGCCCCTCAGAGAGCAGCCCAAAGCCCTCCATGGACGCCAGCCCCGTGCCGCGCGACGTAAGTCGTCTGACCTGGGCTACTGGCACAAGCACATGCAGGAGCATGCGGAAAAGGTAGCGGCCGAGCGCGGCGACACGATGCACGATGCGGATGCAGATGGGGACCTGGACGGTGATGTCGATATGGACGATTCGGAGCTTGACAACATGGAGCTTGACAGCCCCCCCGATCCCATGTGGACGACCAACTCGCGTAAGCGTTCGCAACCTGGAGCAGCTCGCGGTCCCATCGGTGAGACCTACATGCCTCTGGTGGGCTCCACGACCACGGTCCTTCAGGAGACGAAGGCTGCCCAGGTCGGCCCTGCTAGCGCCACGTCATCGTCGGCGACGGGAAGACCCATCGGAGAATCACACATGCCTCTTGTGCCGCCGCCCGTCTCGGGCATGCCCGCTACGTCCCGACCGGCGCACCTCCCTTTTGTCAAGCCCTCGCAGATCCCGCCCGAGACGGG